TCTGGGGACGCCAGAGGCACCCGCGAGGTAGATGGAACTGCGAGGAGGACACGCAAGCTGGACAGAGGTGGGAGGAGGGCCCCGCCCCCCGTCCCTCATTGGACCACGAACTCAAGGCCACGCCCCTCGACTGGAGCTCCGCCCCTAGACCTCAACCTTGGCTCGAGATGTGCGCGCTGGGGCGAGGTGTCTAGAAGGTAGCTGCGTTCGCACGGCCACCGTAAGGAAGGCAGGTGTCCTCGTTCTGCCATTTCACTTAGAGCAACCTGGATGTCACACAGCAGAGCTAGATGCCCGCCACGTCTCTCGACTTTAAAAAGCACCAAAGAGGCCGGGTGCGGTGGCACACGTCTGTAACCTCAGCGACTCAGGAGGCTGAGGCAGGATAACAAGTTCAAGGCCAGCCTCGGCAATTTAGAGAGACTTTGACCTAAAATTTAAAAAATAAAAAATAAATGGGTTGGGGATGTAGCTCAGTACGTGAGGTCCTGGGTTCGACCTCCTGTACCCAGAACCCCATTATCAAAATCAAAACATCACATATAGTGATGAAGAGCAAAGATTCTGAGCCAAACACTCGGTCTGAACACCAGCCTTGCCATTCCCTTGGGTTACATAGGACAAGTTACTTAGCTTCTCTGGGCCCTTCCCCCATCTGCTAAGGGGCATAATGGTTAATAGTACTTACATCAGGGTGTTGCTGAGAAGGTTAAATGAGATAATTTATTTGCTGCACTTAAAACATAGCTAGTATGTAGTTAATGTTATGTGAAAGTTGCAGTTAACTATGTCATTATTAAAAACTGTGCTCCTGTTGCATTTCAGCTCCTAAGATCTGCAACAAGATCTTTTTAATATATCTCACTTAGTTCTCACAATAATTCTGCTATTATTCACATTGTTTGGAGGAGAAAATAAAAAATATGTGATTTCTACCATGTATAGTTTAAGGACTGTACACTCAGATGAGTCATACAGTCCCCAACAACAGTCCCAGGAGGTCAGTACTCTCACAGTGCCCATTTACAGGTGAGAAAAGCTAAACACAGATAGTCACAGTGACTTGCCTTGCCTAAGGTCACACAGAGGCAGAACTCAGGATTTGAACCAAGAGCTAGGGTTTTTAACCACTTAAGAACCTTACTGCCTTGATATTTGCATTAAATCTCCTAATTATAACCGAAACATACTCACCTATGGCTAGACCAGGACCTCCAGAGTTCTAAGAGTTCCTCCCCACAACCCTCTGTCACCACAGCCGAGTCACCCCTTTATAAAATTTAGCACTCTGTGCTTTGTAAGTTGGGAATACAGAGCCCTAGGATCAGTTCCTTCCAGCTCCTGGCCAGCCCTCCCCCCACCTCCCCTGTGCTCTAGGGAGCTCAAGCAGGAGGACCTTGGCAGTTTCCTAAAACAGATAGCTGTGGGGCCTGGGGACCCAGGGTAGGGACCACACACACTGGGACCTCCCTGCTAGGCAGGCAACTTTGTAACTCAGGCCTCAGTTTACTCATCTGACAACTGGGTTAATTTGGAAGAGTCCATACTTCCTGGAGTCACGAGGAAGATTCCTCATACATGCTAACTGATCTATCAAAATTATTATCAACATGTGGTATATACTAAGTTACATAAAACAATATCCTAAAGTTCAACAAAATTATACATAAAGTGTTATTCAATGCATAATAGATTGCTAGATGTTGCAAAGTTAAAACTGATGTTCATACAATTGTATTAAACAGCACATAAGTTTTACCATATTATTGAATTATGTAATTCTATTATACATTATATAATTGCATATCTAGGCTGATATGATTATATAGTACAAAATAATTTTGATATAATACAAAATTATATGTTAAATACTGTTTTCCTTAAAATTTCATATTGAATGTAAAATTACTCTGTGTCATTGCCAACTACATCAGAAGACATTAATAGTGATTTTTGTTTCTGGCGGTTATCACTTGGTACCTTAGGACGCCCCCATGTTGTCCTGTGGACACCTGGCTGATGGATGCGGTAGCTTTGAGGACTTCCTGGGATCAACCTCTTCCGTTTATCCACCCATTGTTCTGGGAATGGACACCCAGGATGCCCCCAGCTCCAGGAAAATAGCACTGTCATGTCCCCTTATGGAGCTGAGGGAGAATTTTGATATGTGCCCATAAGAGGTGACATATCCAACCCAGGACTTGCCTGAGAAGTGCTGGGTGGCCCTGGGGAATGGCTGTCCACTGTCAGCACGTGAGGATCTGGGTCCTCACCTCCCCAGCCTCTGCTTGGAATTTTCCAAGTTTCAATTTTGGCTAGACCTATGGGATGACTCCGTGTTGTCTTTTTTATTGTTAATAATAACTTTATTTGTTTGTTTGTTTATGTGTTGCTGAGGATCGAACCCAGGGCCTCGCCCATGCCAGGCAAGTGCGCTAACCGCTGAGCCCCAGCTCTTCTCACTGATTTTTATCATTGTAAATACTCTTCCCCTTCTGTCATCTGATATTTGTCCCATGATGTCCTCGTTAAAGAAAAACTAATTTCCGAGTTATCAAATGGATCACTTCTCTGCTGCGGCGCCGTGTGATTCAGAAGCCTTTTCCCCTATGGTCACCGCCGTGTTATTGCTGGTGATAACCATCCCCAGGGGCCCGAAGGCCAAGGGTTTATGTACAAGCGCCTAGACCTTTTCCGATCTCCCTCCCGGTGGTTTATCCAGGTCCCCAGGGCCTGGCGACACTCCAGCGCTGCAGGCTGGGCTCGGCCAGGAGCGGGCGCTGCAGGAGATGGGCTCGGGACCAGCCCTGCCTGAGGACGGGGAGAGAGGAGGAGAAAGAGGCAGGAAGAGAGAGACTCGCGAACCTCGGTATAGCATGTGATGGAAAAACTAAAGCCAAGGGGCCCGCGCCTGTCTAAACGCGCCAGGCATGGAAACAAAAAAAATCCCATGGTGACTTACTTTACTGAGAAAAAGAAAGGACCGAAAATGTAGCCGGGAGCTGGACATCTTGGCACACACCTGTAATCCCAGCGCTCAGGAGGCTCAGGCAGGAGGATCACAAGTTCAAAGTCAGCCTCAGAAATTTAGTGAGGCCCCAAGCAACTCAATGAGACCCTGTCTCTAAATAAAAATATTTTAAAAAGGGCTGGGGATGCGGCTCAGTGGTTAAGTGCCCCTAGGTTCAATCCCCAGTACCAAAAAAAAAGAAGAGAAAATAAAGCTCTTTGGTTGAATTGACTAACATACTAGGTTTGGCAGAATCATACTATGACCCATTTATTCTTCCCTGAACACAACCCTACAAAATTTTACACTTTATGTTTATCAAAGCCAAGTGCTCAAATATTCACAGGAGGGCTAGGGATGTAGCTCAGTGGTAGAGTACCCCAATTAGTATGTGTAAAGCCCTGGGTTGATCTCCAGCACCAAAGAACTAAACAAAATAGTCACAGAGTCTTTATGCATAAGAGCCCTAAGGAAGCCAGGCACCAGAGGCATATGCCTGTAATCCCAGTGACTCTGGAGGCTGAGGCAGGAGGATTTCAAGTTTGAGGTCAGCCTGAGCAATTTAGCAAAGCCCTGTCTCAGAAATAAGTAAACAAATAAAAAGGGCTGGGGATGTAGCTTAGTGGTAAAGCACCCCTGGGTTCAATTTCTAGGACCCAAAACAAACAAACAAACAAATCAGCCCCAAGGGAGCAACTCCACTGTCCATCACAAGAAAACTGACCATTGTCACACAATGAAAGACTACAGACAGCAATGAAAGGAAGAAATTAGAATCAGAGAAAATAACATGGAAGAACTGTAAAGACAGTGTGCTAAATGAAAGAAAGCAGGTACAATACATGAGTGCAGACGTCTACAGCTCAAAACAGATAAGACTCTCCTGTTAGACATCAGACTCCTGGTAACTTGTGGCAGATGGTGCTGGGAAAGGCAACTGGGGACTTATGAAGAATGAAAGTGTTCTGTTTCTTGATTTGCGTGGAAGTCACTTGGGTTGGCTGGGTTGGTGACAGTTCATTAACCTAAATAACTTAGCAATATGTGCTCTTTTTGTGTATCTCAATTTAAAAAAAAAAAGTCAAGCATGACACATTTAGGTAAAAGAATAAAACACGCGTAGTCAAAAGAAAAGTCTGTTTCCATGGACATGCTTTTATGTACGTCAACGCTCAAATAACAACCCAGATAAAACCTAATAGCCCGTAATATTGGTCACTCCTGCCTAAGGGGGACAGAGGGAGGGAGGAAGCTTCCAGATTGCTTACCTCCACCTGTAATTAGATAACAGTCCACGGAGATAATATTTTAAAAGCCCTTAGAGCAGAGTCTGCTACATAGGAGGTACACACAAGGGCTGGTTACAAGAAGAGTAATAAAGGAAAAATGTTTTCCCAGGGTATCCTTAAAACCAGCCTAGAAACGCCAGGAAGATGGTTCACACCTGGCATCCAAGCCACTCAGTGGTGGAGGCAGGAGGATCACAAGTTCAAGGGCATCCTCAGCAACTCAGTGAGACCCGTCTCAAACTAAAAAATAAAAAGAGTTGAGGATGTAGCTCAGTGGTGGAGCACCCTGGATTCAATCCTCAGTTCACCTCCTCTCCAGGAAAAATAATAATAATAATAATAATAAACTAGGAATGAAAGAAACCGTAAAATAATTTTGCAAAGTATATGAGTTTCTATTCAAATCCTTGTGCTTCAAGGTCCACTTTATAGAAACACAGACTTTTCTTTTGAGTGTGTGTATGTATTTTTACACAGATTAGTCATGCTTTTTAAAAACTGCTTCTATTGAAGTGTGACAGTGACAGGTCTCAAGACCCAAAGATGGGGAGATAGCTAGAGAGCCGGCTGGGCTGGGGGGTGGGGGCCAGCAGCACCGGAAACCTCAGCCTGCAGGGATCCCCATGTGGGGGAGGGGAGCCTTTGGTCTCTCCCCAGCCTCTTCCTTCCCCCTGGCCTGGGGGTGGGTGGGGAGGGGCAGTTCCTCTTTCCTTCCCAAGCTCGGAGGAGGCCCAGCTCCCGAGGGGCTGAGAGCTGGAGTCCTGGTGAGGGGGGAGGAGCTGTCCCGCGAGGACCACCCCCCAAGGAAGTATGAATAGAAAAGACAGCAAGAGGTAAGGGGACCCTCCCCAGGAGCCAAGCCTGTGCGGGAAGGTTGGGGAGGCGCCGAGAGGGGCCAGGACGTCTGCCTCCTGTAGGATCAGGGGTGCCAGGGACAGATGCTCCAGGGAGCCCAGGGCCAGCTAGGGCCAAGGCTGCGTGCGCAGAGGCGCCTGCGGCTGACGCGCTCTCTCTCTCTGGACTTTGCTTCTCCCCTCACCGCCCTCCCCATTGCTCTTTGGGCTACGGTCCTCCCTGGGGTCTTCCTGGCTCCCCATCCAGTCGCTGCCCCCGACTGGAAACTCCAGCCTCCTCCTGCAGGGCCCTGCCCCAGGAGAGGGGTGTGTGATGCAAGATCAGCCGGTTCCCCTGCCTCTTAAACCACACCTGGCTGCTCCAGACACCTAGGGGGCTGCCAGTCCTCAGGTAGGGACCAAGTGGCTGCCACTGCCCCGGGGCTGTGGGATGGACTTCTAACTCTGGGAAAGCTTGCCCTCCGGTCCGCACAGAGATGGATGGTGATTGGGTCCCCAATCTAGGTGACCCCTCCAACCTCCCCCAGCATGATTCTGATGAGCAACTGGACTTCCCTCCCCATACCATTCAGTAGTTTAATGGTGGGATCCTAACTGCCTCATTGCTGGCTGTGTGACCTTAGGTAAGTTACTCAGCTTCTCTGGGTCTCAGTTTCTTCTATCAATAGAATAACTATAGATTGTATCTCAGAGGGGCCTCTAAGTCTTCAGTGAGACAGTCCAGACCACGGGTTCTCAAACTTGACCATGTGTCAGAACCAACCAGAGGGCTTATAAAATGCAGGTTGCTGGGGCTGGGGATGTGGCTCAAGCGGTAGCACACTAGCCTGGCATGCGCGGGGCGCTGGGTTCGATCCTCAACACCACATAAAAATAAAATAAAGATATGGTGTCCATCTAAAACTAAAAAATAAATATTAAAGAAAAAAATGCAAGTTGCTGGACTTACCCCTAGAGGTTTTGATTTGTGTGGGGTGGGGCCTAAGAATTTGTGTTTATATCAAGTTCCCAGGTGATTCTGTTAGAACTGATTGGGGACCATATTTCGAGAATCATTGATCTAGAAGGAGTGACCTGCTGGACATGGTGAACCATGCCTGTAATCCCAAAGGCTCTGGAGGCTGAGGCAGGAGGATCATTAGTTCAAAGTCAGCCTCAGCAACTTAGTGAGGCCCTAAGCAACTCAGTGAGACTCTGTCTCTAAGTAAAATATTTTTTAAAGGGCTGGGGATGTTGCTCAGTGGTTAAGGGCCCCTGGGTTCAATCCCTGGTGCCAAAAAAAAATTGGAGTGATCAGCCCTTGACCCGCTAGCTAATCAGTACTCAGTAATGCCCCCTATTATTCATCAACAGTCAGTGACAACTTACTGAGTCCTTAGGATGCACTGTCACCTTTGCCATGAGGGACTCCTGTTTCCAGTTTCACCCCAGCCACAGGCTCCTCCTCGGCCCCATCCCTCTTTCTCTCTGCATCTTAACCTCAGCTTTCCCACATCTGGGTCACTGACCAGCCTAGGCAAAAACTAAGTTTCATTACTTAGCACCTTTGAGGAGCCAGGCATCAAATGTTTATAATAAATTCCTGGGGACGGTCCAAAGATGACACTCAATTTACATATGAGGAAACTAAGGATCAGAGAAATTAAGTGACTCACCAAACGTCACACAGCCAGCAGAAATTTCTCGAACCCAGTTCTCTCCGACTCTAGAGTCTAAGTTTTGCTCCCTCCTCCTTTCTCCTGCCTCCTCTGTCTCTCCATTACCCTCTCTCCCCACCTGGACCAGGAGCCTCAGAGGAGCACAAGGCAAAGTTATTTTTAAACTTTCCTTGAAGCTGCCTTAGCTCCAGGGACCCCGCCTAGCTCTGGGGAGCTCTGGAGAGGTCATTTTGTACTGGTACTTCCTCTCTGGGTTCCAAATCTAGGCACCCAGCTGGAGGCTAAGACTCCAGAGCCTGTGAAGGGCCCTTCCTGAGGTAGAGTGGGGAGAAGAGAAGAGATGGAATCCCAGGGGCCTGCCTGAGGGAGGAGGCGCTGGAGACCAAAAGGGCATTCAGAAGAGTTGTCCTGAAGCTGACCCTCCCGTGTGTCCTCCCAGGGAGGACAGCAGTGATCCTAGGGGGTCTTGTGTCTTGATTTCCTGAGAGGTCAGGACAAATCCCAGGGGTCTGCCAACAGGAAATCTCTTCCATGATGACTTGAGACAGTTTTGTCCAGAGGAATTTGGGGGGAATGCCTGGAGGAGGGAGTTTTTAGGATTCCTTGGAGGGTCCTCAGTAGTCCTGGGGGCTTCTCCCTTGATTCCTTGGGGAATCTGGAATATTCCTGGGGGCTTCTCCCAGGAGTCTATGGTAGGTCAGCGGTCATCCGGGGACTTTACCTGTATTCCTGTAGGAATTTCTCCCATGGTACCTTGGGGCATTGGGGTCAAGAGGAATCTGAGGACCTGCCCAAAGGAGGGGGCTCTCATGCTTCCTGGGGGTGAGGGGATGTGCATCCACAGGAAATCCCACCAGGAATGCTCAGGGAAGGCAGGAGGCCGGGGCCGGCCCCGCCAGGCCCCTCGCCGCCACAAGACCTGCCCGAGTCCCCGGGAGATCAGCAAGGTCATGGCGTCCATGAATCTGGGCATGCTGGGCGAGGGCAGCTACAGTGAAGACGAGCTGCTGGAGAAATGCATCCAGTCCTTCGGTGAGTGTCGCCTCCCCGGCCAGCCTCCCCAGTCCCAGCCCTGCCAAGCACCCGCCTCTCTCAGCCTCAGCGTTTGGGGCTATACAATGGGTGTGGGGGATGAATCCCAATCGCTCCATGAAGGGTTGGAGAAACACCTGCGTTGCTTTTTCCTGGGACGAGGATGGGAGCAGGACTGGTGCCGTTTCCATCTCTGTGACATTGCTGGCCCATGCCTGGTGTGGACAAAAAACCAAGGCACAGAGAGGTTGAGGTGCTTGCCCAAGTTGATGCCAGCATCACTTGAACCTGACGGTCCACCAAGCTCTGGAGACTGTCAGTCCACGCCCAGGGCCCATTCAGACAGAGTCCCCCTTGCCCCCCTCCCAGACTCCAGTGGCAGCCTGCGCCGTGGGGACCACGTTCTCAACATGGTGCTGGCCATGCACAGCTGGGTGCTGCCTTCTGCTGAGCTTGCTGCCCGGCTGCTGGCTTTATATCCTCTGTGACCGTGACCGTGGCAGAGGGCGGAAGGGCAGAAACACAGAAGCCTGGGAGGAGGGGACGGGGGAGCGGGCAGGTCTGGACACTGGATAATGGAACCTTGACCGGAACTCAAGTACCAGGAGGCTGCAGAGGACACCCGGGAGCTGAGGCAGTTGCAGATCTGTCACTTGGTCAGGTAAAGCTGGGTCAGTCCTCTTCTCCCATATCCTGCCCTTCCCCCAATATCTCAGAGACTCCCCAGCACCACTCCCTAAAACCCCACTCGGAGACACCCTGGCTGGGTTCCTAAGACCCTCCCAGTTCTGCCCCTGAGAACCCCAACCTTTTGGAGACCCCCCCTACCAGATTCCACAGACCCTTCTGCCAGCTCTGATAGGCCTCCAGCTGATCCCCCAAACCCTACTTCCTACATACCCCAAGACCTACATACCCTAAGACCTCCTGACGTTATCTCCCCGCTAGAAACCCCAGGCTAGATCCTGAGACACCCCCACTGTCCTATTTCTGTGCAGTTCCACTTCCAAGAGATCCCCCCATCTACCTCCATAAATCTCCCCAACCCGTGTTGAGACCCCCTTCCTATCCCAGAGATCCCCCTGTCCTGGTGCCCCTCCAAAACCTGCCCTTCCCAAGACCCCCTGCACACATGTAGACCTCCCCACTTGGCATCTGGAGGTCCCTCAGCCCTGCCCCATGCCCCACCCTAACCTGTTCTCAGGTACTGGATGGCCCAACACCCAGAGGCCATGCGCCAGGAGCCCCAGCTAGAAGAGGTCATAGGTCGCTTCTGGGCCACGGTGGCCCAGGAGGGCAACTCAGCCCAGAGGAGCCTGGGAGATGCTTCCCACCTGTGAGCCTTCCCCATGTCCCCTTGCCTGCCCCACCCCCCTCCTGCCATCTCCCTTGGCATCCCCAGACCCTCAACTCTGAGCCACTCCAATACCCTGCCCCTCTTGGCCCCCAGCCTGAGCCCTGGTGGCCCTGGCCCCCCACCTCTCACGAGCAGCCCAGGCCTGGGCAAAAAATGCAAAGTGTCCTTGCTTTTCGATCACCTGGAGTCCGAGGAGTTGGCCCAGCACCTCACGTACCTGGAGTTCCGGTCCTTCCAGGCCATCACGGTGAGGACTCCCCTGGCCTTCAGTGCCCTTCTGGGACAGGGGGAAGATTGGGGTGGTGGGAGGATCCCTGCACGGATACCCAGCTGGGGTTCTTAAACTTCAAAGCTGGGAGCCAGAGGGTCCAGGAAAATGAGCCAGGTGGCTGAGCACAGCACCCTCGGTTCAGATGCCATCACCTCCTTCTTACCTGTGTAACACAGAACTAGTGTCTCAGCCTCTCTGGGAATCCTCCTTTGTAAAACAGAGGTCATAACCTTCCTTAGAGGTGGGAAAATTTAAAATCCCAATTACAAAATGCCTATTGTGGCTGGGTCCATTGGTGCACGACTATAATCCTAATGACTTGGGAAATTGAGGCAGCAGGATCACAAGTTTGAGGCCAGACTGGGAATTTAGTGAGACCCTGTTTCAAAAAATAAAAATAAAAAAGGGATGGCAATGTAGTTCAGTGGTAGAGTGTTCCTGCGGTACCAAAACCAAAAAACAAGCCTGCCAGGCTTGGTGGTGCACACCTGCAATCCAAGCATCAAGCATCTTGGGAGGCTGGGGCAGGAAGATCACAAGTTCAAAGCCAGCCTCTAAGCAACTTAGCAAGACCCTGTTTCAAAATAAACAATAAAAAAGGCTGGGGAGGTGGCTCAGTGGCTAAGCACCCTGGGTTCAAAGAAGAAAAGCCTAACCAGTACCTGGCACATAGTAAGTATTCAAAATATTTTCTTAATTATTCATTTAATCAACAAGCATTTCAATTCGTGGTGCCTCAGTTTCCTCATGTGTAAAAGGGAATGTCAGCAGTTCCCATCTTATAGGATATAGCACCTGGTCTAGAGTAAATCATACCTGGTGAACCATTTGAAATTGCCTTATTTTACCTACCCAAATGTCAGTTTTTAATTTTTTTTTTTTGGTACTGGGATGGAACTCAGGGGTACTTCACCAGTTGCTGAGGGTCTTGCTAAGTTGCCGAGGTTGACCCCAAATTTGCCCTCCTCCTGCCTTAGCCTTCCAATTGCTGGGATTACAGGTGTGTGCCACCACACCTGGCTCAAATGTCCATTTTCCTGTGCTTTAGTGTAGATACGTTAACTATTGCCATCTGGACATGATTGTTTCAAGGGAAGGAGAGAATCTGGTTCCCTAATGTGAAATTTTTCTGATTTTTTTGTGTGTGTGTGTGTATCAATATAACATGCAGATAGTGCAATGGATGTGGGTAAGAAACTATTGAGCAGAACAAGTAGAAGTCGGTTTCCAGTCCTTTTCCCCATCCTTCCCTTTGCTGTGTACGAGTCAGTTAAACAGTTAACAGCATATAGACTGGACTGGGCTGTATCTCAGCAACAGAGACTGACCGATTACTGCAAGGCCCTGGGTTCATCCCCAGCAGGGCCAATAATAATAACAATAATAATAATATTTTCAGCATATAGACTGGTTTCCTGTCCTAGCTCATGCCTGTGTCTTTGCCTCAACCGCCTCATCTTTAAAATGGGAATAACAGTACCCACCTTGTAGAGTCATGAAGATTAGATTATTTAATATGATAAAGTGCTCAGAGTAGTACCTGGCTTTATTTAAACATTTCTCTTCAGATTGAGGAGACATGTGGCAGCCTGTGGAGAGGCAAATGACAAAGTTTACAAAGGCTGACCAGGCTAGGACATCGGAAGTTACGGCTGCAAGGGGGATGGATGGCAAGTCAGGGCACTGCCTCCCCCCATAACACCCACCTCGCCCCCAGCCCCAGGACCTGCGGGGCTACGTTTTGCAGGGCTCCGTGAGGGGCTGCCCAGCCCTGGAGGGTTCCGTGGGCCTCAGCAACAGCGTGTCCCGCTGGGTGCAGGTCATGGTGCTGAGCCGCCCTGGACCTGCTCAGCGTGCGCAGGTGCTGGACAAGTTCATTCACGTGGCACAGGTGAGGCCCGCCTTTCCGCTCACTTTCTAGTTGCTTGCCCTGCGGCCAGGTAGTGACCTGACCCCTGGCGACCCAGCCTGCCCAAATTCCCAGGACCTTGGCTCCCGCAGGCCAACCGGGTGGTGACGTCGCGCAACTCCTAGCCACGCCCATCACATCACGTCCCACTCTGTCTCCACCCCCGAGGCCACAGTTAGTTTTTTTGTTGTTGTTGTTTTGTTTTATTGATTCTATTTTTTAAAACAGTTCGAGCTTTCTAACCCTTGATTAGGGCTTCTTCGGCCTTGATATCACCGCGTCAAACCCGCCTTGGCAGCTTGGCCTTGGACGTGACAGTTGATTAAGTCCCTCCGGGCGCCATCGTCCAAACCCCTTCGTCCCAGGGCGAAGGCAGCGTTGCCTCAAGTGCCCGCCTTTGCACCCGCCTGCACCCAGGCTCCTAGCTCCTGTCCCCAAGCCCCAGCGCTCAGTCTCTTTGGGACGGTGACTGCAACCCTCCCTCCCGCCCCGGCTCGCGCTGCGCCCCTCTGCTTCCCCTCCTTCTGGGAAAAGGGAAGCCCTCCGCCGTGGCCACGCCCCCTTGCGTACTTCCACGTAGGCCACGCCCTTCCTCTGGCAGCTTCCACCGCCCGCTTCCTCTTGCTGGGCCCTTTAGGCCTGGGGTTTCCTTGGTCTGAGCATCTTCCGTTCCCTCTCTCCAGGCGACCTCTGCCCTTGAACTTGGGAAAGGGGAAGGGGGGGATCTCGACCCCGCACCTACCTGGAATCTGTCTCACCTTCCCTTCCCACCCTGGTCCCGTTCCTTCATCTCAGCCTAGTCCCCAGCGTCTGCCCAGAGCCCTCACCCGGGGGGACTCTCAGAGCTGGCGGAATCCTCCCGCGCCTGTCTGAAGCACACCTGTCTGTCCAGCTCCCAGCACTTGCCTGGGGCTCGAACTCAGGGCCTCGAGCTTGCCCACCGGCTCTCCACCACAGCCACATCCCCGGGCTCTCCCCACACTTTCTAACCTCACATTCTCCACCCCCTGCCTGACAGCCACCTTCCTCACCGTCCCTTGCACACACTGGTCCACCCAACCCACCTGCCGTCATTTGAACTTGACCTTGCCTGTCCTTCTATGATACCTACCATCTCTGGCATCACCTCCCTTCCTAGAGACTCCGCCAGCTACAAAATTTCAACACACTGATGGCGGTCACAGGGGGCCTGTGTCATAGTGCCATCTCCAGACTCAAGGACTCCCAGGCCCACCTGAGCCCTGACAGCACCAAGGTGAGCTCCCAGATTCCACCTGAGGAACTGGCTGCCCCAAAGCCTGAGCCCCCAGGCCATCTGCATTCTTCCTCCGTGACCAGCATAGATAGCAGTGACCCTCTCTGTCCTCCACGGATCTAGTCCTAAGATGGGCTGTCAGGGAGGCCGGTGGGAGAGATGCTAACGGAGAACCAGCAGCCCAGGTGGCAAGCTGTCCCACATCCAAGATAACCAACATTTGTGCCACCAAAGGAGGAACATGGGGGGGAGTGTTTGGGAAGTGTCCAGGAAGAGTCAGTCATTCATGCATCCAGTGTGTGGCTAAGGGCAGGAAAATAGGCTGGATATGCCCAGGGAAGATTCTGTTGAACCCTGAAAGCTCAAGTTTAGGTGTTTGAGCTTCATCCAAAGGGCACTGGGGAGCTACGGCAGATTTGAGAGTGATGCCAGCACCCGTGATCAGATTCAATTTTGTGAGACCTCATTCTAACTTGGGGAATGGGGTGATAGTAGAGCCTCTCTGAGTTGGAGACCCAAGAGGAAAAGCAGTTTGGGGAAATACTGAGGCCAGTGTGGGATACAGAAGGGGCTCAGGAGGTTTCGAAAGGGTCCCTGGGGGTCTGGAGCCTAGAGGGGCGCAGGGAACATAATGGCTCTTCCTGATGACGTGTTCCTCCCACCCAGGCCCTGCTGGAGCTGACAGAGCTTCTCGGCTCCCACAACAACTACGCCCGCTACCGCCGCACCTGGGCTGGCTGCAGCGGCTTCCGGCTGCCTGTTCTGGGTGTGCACCTCAAGGACCTGGTGTCCCTGCACGAGGCACATCCTGACCGGTTACCAGACGGCCGCCTGCATCTGCCCAAGTTGAACAGCCTCTACCTGCGGCTGCAGGAGTTGGCAGCCCTCCAGGGACAGCATCCCCCCTGCAGCGCCAACGAGGACCTGCTGCATCTGCTCACCGTGAGCTTCCCTGCTCTGCCCAGTGTGGGCCCCCAGAGGCTGGGCCTGGGGGTACTGAGACTGAGGGTCCTGAACCTGTAAAGCTCTGCAGGACCAGACGGTGCTGTGTGACATTGGGCAGGTTATTTAACCCCTTAGCCTCAGTTTCCTTATCTAGAGAGTGGGAATAATAGGACCCACTTCAGAGGATACTTGAGAATTGACTAATAAATGATTAATATAAAGTACTTAAAACAGAATCTGGAGCCGGCTGCAGTGGCACATGCCTGTCATCCCAGCAGCCCCAAACACTGAGGCAGGAGGAGCACAGGTTCAAAACCCAACCTCAGCAAAAAGCGAGGCACTAAGCCACTCAGTGAGACCCTGTTTCTAAATTAAAAAATACAAAATAGGGCTGGGGATGTGGCTCAGTGGTTGAGTGCCCCTGAGTTCAATCCACAGTGCCCCCCCCAAAAAAAAAAAAAAAAAACAGACTCAGGAATACAGGAGTACAGTGAGCTCTATGTATGTGAGGTCATTTTTTCCCTGGATTCCTCTGACTCAGGTGTCCACTGACCTGAGCTCCAGGACTGCTCTGGGCTTTTGTACTCCTGAACCAAGGTTCTGGACACTAGTTCACAATTTGACATAATCAGAATCTAGGCAAAAAGTTAACCGTTGTTGATCACTTCCTCTGTGCCAGTTGTCACTTCAGGATACCTCACAACCCTATGAGGTGGAAACCCTTATTGCACCCATTCTGTGGGCTGGGAAACTGATGCCCAGAGATACCTCACATACTTTGGATTCAATCCCCAGTATGACCCCACCACACCCACCCCCAAAAAAGAGACAGAAGGTGACAGCAGGACATTAAACCATGAAACAAAGCAGGGACTCTTGGAAGCAAGGGTCCTGCACAGGTCGCTGGCTTGTGAAGCCTGCTCTGCCCTAAGATGACTGGTGCCTGAGACCCTTTTCTTTCTTTATTCTTTTTTTTTTGGTGGAGGGTGGTTGAACTCAGGGGCACTGGACCACTGAGCCACATCCCCAGCCCTATTTTATATTTTATTTAGAGACAGGGGCTCACTGAGTTGCTTAGTGCCTTGCTTTAGCTGAGGCTGGCTTTGAACTCTGATCCTCCTGCCTCAGCCTCCCTAGCTGCTGGGATCACAGGCGTGCGCCCAGACTGAGACCCCTTTCTTTGCTGGTTGTGAAAGGCCATCCCTCAGCCCCAGTGTTTACTGAGCACCTGCTGGGAGCCAGGCCCAGCTTCGGGCACCCGGAACATGGCGGAGGGCAAGTCAGCAAACAGTGGCCTTCTGGGGGGCAGACATTCTGGGGGCCAAAGCCACTCCAGCCAAGTCAGGAAGGCTCTCCGCCTCTAGATGACAAGTGCCACGGAGAAGAGAGAAGGCAAAAAGGGCGCGGAGGGAGATGGGACTGGGTCTTTAATAAGGACATCAGGAGAGTGGGAGGTGCTGGGCAGGTCTGGGGTCTCCCCAAGAGGCAGGCATGTGGGCTGAGGTTGGGGGACAGTGACAGAAGGCTGTGTCCCACCCCACCCACCCCAGCTCTCCCTGGATCTCTTCTACACGGAGGACGAGATCTACGAGCTGTCCTACGCCCGGGAGCCCCGCTGTCCCAAGAGTCTGGTGAGACCTAACCCCTGACCTCTGACCCCTGCCCGAGCCTGTTAAGTGTCTAACTGTGTGCCTCTGTCCCCCTCCAGCCGCCCTCTCCCTTCAAAGCACCTGTGGTGGTCGAGTGGACCACCGGTGTGACACCCAAGCCAGACAGGGTCACCCTGGGTCGACACGTGGAACAGCTGGTGGAGGTGAGGAGGGACTGGGCCCCCATAGGTGGGTGCCAGGAGGGGACTCCCGTATAGTCCTGTGTGTCAGGAGGGATCCAGGACCCTGGGGCTGGGCCTCATCCCCTGACTCACCCTGTCCCTCCCTTGCTCCTCCAAAGTCCGTGTTCAAGAATTATGACCCTGAAGGCCGCGGCACCATCTCTCAGGAGGACTTTGAACGGCTGTCGGGCAACTTCCCCTTCGCTTGCCACGGGCTGCACCCGCCCCCCCGCCAGGGGTAAGTGCCCTGACTCCTGGGGCCCCCAAAGCAGAGGACTCTGGGGTTGCTAGGACTGGGGGCCTGGGGAGGAAGGGACAGTCGTGCTGAGGTGTCGTCTCTACCCCAGGCGTGGCTCCTTCAGCAGAGAGGAGCTGACGGGGTACCTGCTGCATGCCAGCGCCATCTGCTCCAAGCTGGGCCTGGCCTTCCTGCACACCTTCCACGAGGTCACCCTGCGCAAGCCCACCTTCTGTGACAACTGCAACGGCTTTGTAAGCACTGTGTCCTGTTGGCACCCCTAGGGCCCATCTACCCTAGGCATCGGAGCTGGGACTTGAGAGCTGGCCCTGCCTTGGAGGGTGAAGGGTCCCCACAGTCAGATAATCCCCCAATTCCAGAAAACTCCCACTAAATATTAAATACACTAAATACTGAATGCTCCAGTCAGAATAATCTCCAAATTCTAGATAATGCCCAAATCCAGATATAATCTCACCCAAATCCTGTATAATCTCTACCCTGGACAACCACCAAACCCCGGATAATACCTAAAGCCCTGGGTAATCTCCAGAACAAACCTGGGTGGATCGTGTCCAAACAGAATCCATCTCCAGCTCTCTAGACTCCACACCATCCAAGGTCTGAACAATTTCCAAATTCAGAGCCTCCTCAAACTCTTGATGGAGGACCGATCTCTCTGTCTCCAAACTGAGACTTACGTCACAAACCTTGGGTCACCTCCCAAATTCACCAGCCACAGTCTGTACTGAGCACCTTCCCTATGACAAGCCATGCCAGGCCTGGGACATCTCAGGAACAATAGATACGGTCCTTGCCTGTAGAACATGCATTCCATAGTTCACCGAATTCTAATATCCTGCTCGGCTCCCCAACTTCAGGTAGCTGCAGGTTCCTTTAATTCCAGTTAAATTCTCAAATTCTTGAAAAATTTTCAAACCTGGTGACTTGCACAGTTCTATCCTGTCCCTTCAGCCCACGCCCTCCAGCCTGTCATCTGAACCAGCTCTGCTTTCTCTTCCAGCTCTGGGGTGTCACCAAGCAAGGCTACCGCTGCCGGGGTGAGTGGGTCGCCCTCCAGCGGGAGGGTGCTGGGACCCACAGACTGGAGGATGGAGGGTACTAACCACTCCCGTCCCCCAGACTGTGGCCTCTGCTGCCACAAACACTGCAGGGACCAAGTGAAGGTGGAATGTAAGAAGAGACCAGGGCCCAAGGGTGACGCAGGACCCCCAGGAGCCCCTGTCCCACCCACACCACCTCCTCATGCCAGCTCTGGTAAGTCCCAGGGCATGGCAGTGCTGGGAAGGGGGCTGGTGGATGGGGTTCATTTCCAAGGTCATGGGTCTTTCCCATCATGCCAACGTCCCTTCCACCATCACTCCACAGACGCTGAGGAGAGTCTGTCCTACACTCTCTCCCTGGAACCTGAGACTGGGTACCACCTTTGCCATGCTTGGACCCAGACAGAGTCCCCACACCCTTCCTGGGAACCAGAGACGGTAAGCAGGAACTGCGCTCTGCCCCAGCTGGCCATCTGGGAGAGACCAGACAGGTCTGGGGACTCACAGGAAAGTGAAAATATGCAAAAGTCCCCCATTGCTTGGTGGGAGGGGATGGATACTGGCTAATTTATAATGTTGACAGGAAAACAGAAGTTTCAATATGTTGGGGGGGGAGTAACCACTAGAACAGAAAAAGGGTTTAGAGAGAGGGCGAAAAACAAAAACAAAAACACTAAGAAGGCAAGAATAATGCTGAGCACAGTGGCGCACGCCTGTAATCTCAGCAGCTCGGGAGGCTGAGGCAGGATGATTGAGAGTTCAAAGCCAGCCTCAGCAATTTAGGAGGCCTTAAGCAACTCAGTGAGACCCTGTCTCTAAATAAACTATATAAAAGGGCTGGGGATGTGGCTCAGTGGTTAAGTGCCCCTAAGTGTTCAATTCCTGATACAAAAAAAAAAAAAGAAGAAAGTCAAATGTATCAGGAGCTACAATAAATATTAGTGGAGTAAATTCCACTCTTTAAAAGCAGAGACTCTTATATCAGGTTTAGGGAAAAAAAAAAAAACCAAAATCCACAAAACCCAGGGTCCATTCGTTCATCGCTGAGCTGGTCTGGGGGAGACCCTCTTCCCCACATCTGACACCCCCTCACTACTATCTTCCTCCTTCCAGGTCTCCTCCCCAGAGCCAGTCCCACCACCCACCTCCTCCTCCAAGCCAGATTCCTAGACATCATCTTGGGCTCGTCTCTCCCTCACGGCCCCCACCCCAGGACCCCCAGACATCCCCTTCTCCACACCCACAGGGTCTTTGATGACGCATCCATCATCACTTGACCTCCCAGAAAAGTTCTTTTCTTCCCTTGTGTGGCAGGAGCTATTAATCCCACTCCATTTCCCACACGTAGCATGTGCGGCTCAGTATTGGGGGCATGTAGACCAAGGCTCACCGTCGCCCGAATCTCCACTCACAAGGTTAGGAGGGAGGCTGGCGAGGTCAGGCTGCTGGCCAAGGGAGCAGAGCTCCCAGGGTAGGAGGCAGGACGCAAACCTGGTCCGCTAAGAGTGAAGCTGCAGACCTGAGCGCAGTGCCCCGTGGACAGCCAGTGTGAGTGAAGGGTGGACAGAGCTCCAAACTGGGGTGGCAGAGACAGGGGAAAGGGGGTGGAACTGTGGGCCTGTGAACCCCCCCAAAAAAAGCCAGTCCTCACGGTGACCCACAGAGCTCTGCACTCTGACCCTCACCTCTCTGACCCCACCCCCGCCTCCCACCCCTTTACTCATCCTGCTTCTGCCACCCTGGCCTCAGTATACCTTGAACATTCCCCAAAGAATCCTACCTCAGGGCCTTTGCACTACCAGGAAGGCTCCTCCCCAGGGCCCCATGTGGCTTTTTTTCTGAAACAGTGCTCAAGGCACACTTCTGACCATTTCAGAGACCTGCATCTCCCTGTTCCCCACCCCATCCTGCCTCCCAGCATTATTTTTCTCCGTGGTGCTTCCTCTGTGTGACAGATTCACATTCCACCTATATTTTGTGAAATGTCCCTTCCTCCTCACCAGAAATGTTAGCTGTCTTTCCCTATGGTGTCCCCATGCCTAGAACAGAACTGGCACACTGGGGACACAGGATAAGTGTTTACCCCATGCCTCGATGTGCCCTCCCCACGCCCACAGGAAGGGAAAGGGTGTCATGGAAAGGCAGAGGACCCTGTGCATCAGAGCAGTGGGGCCTGTCCAGACGCAGGGCAGGGCCTCCCTGCCCAAGGCCACGCGCCCCTGGCCAGGCCTCCACAGAGACGGTCCTACAGCCATCAAAATTAAATTTATTTTCCAGGGAACATTGTTCTTGGCATTGAGAGGTGGACGGGCACAGGACATTTGGGGGCCTCCAGAACCAGGGGATGGGGACTTAGGGGCCGGTACCAAGGGACCCCCAAACTGACTCCCAGGGGTGACTGGCGCCTGGGCATCTCCCGGAGCCCCGCCCCCGGCCCTTTACTTCTTCTTCTTCTTGCGGCCCCAGCGCTGGCGGCTCGCTTTCCCCCCACCGCCGACGTCCCTCCGGCTCTGCCAGCTGGGCATGGGGGCCTCCAGCTCGTTGGGGCGGCCACCCCGGTCCGGCATTTCACCCATAAGCACCTAAGAATAGATCAGACTCGACTTTCAGAGGAAAAAAATAGAAATTGTGGACAAGGGGTCCAGAGAGCAATGGAACAGCATGAGATTCAAGAAGGAAGGGCAGGGGCTGGGGCTGGGGCTCAGCGGTAGAGCGCCCGCCTCGTACCTGTGAGGCACTGGGTTCAATCCTCAGCACCACATGAAAACAAATACATAAAATAGAGATATTGTGTCCGTCTAAACTAAAAAATAAAAATAAAATAAAAAGAAGGAAGGCAGATGGTGACTATTTGGGTAGTGGCTGGGGAGAAGGGGACAGACTGATGGAAGACAAGAGCATCCAGCTTTTAAACTGGCTTCAAAGGTCATCAGAAAGTGGCGGAGTGTGGGGGTGTACACTGAAATCTGGCAGCTCAGGAGGCTGAGGCAGGAGGATCACGAGTTCAAAGCCAGCCTCAGCAACTTAGTGAGGCCCTAAGCAACTTGGCAAGACCCTGTCTCTAAATAAAACTTATTTAAAAAAAAGGTGGGGGGATGTGGTTAAGTACCTAAGGCCCGTGGGTTCAATCCTGGTACAAAAAATAAAAATAAAAAAGTGGGGACCTCAGAAAGAGGAAAATAAAGAGAAAGATAGCAAAGGTCCAAGTCCCCACCCATATTAATGAGAGCCCCTCAACTCTATTTCATATATGGGCTTTGTGTAACATTTCCAGCATGTCCAGTGTTTGTTTCCCTAAATATCCATTATTTGTCCACGCGTGGTGGCACACGCCTATGATCCCAGTGACTCAGGAGGCTGAGGCAGAAGGATCACGAGTTCAAAGCCAGCCTCAGCAAAAAGTGAGGTGCTAAGCAACTGAGAGAGACCCTGTCTCTAAATAAAATACAAAATAGGGCTATGGATGTGGCTCAGTGGTTGAACACCCCTGAGTTCAATCCCTGGTACTGAGAAAAAAAAATCCATTATTTGCTCATTGCAAGTTTAAGACTACTTTAGAGGGGCTGGGGCTGGGGCTCAGTGGTAGAGCACTTGCCTGGCATGTGTGAGGCACTGGGTTTGATCCTCAACATTACATAAAAATAAATAAATAAAATAAAGGTCTATTGACAACTAAAAAAAATATTTAAAGACAACTTTAGAGAGGTATAAAGCTAAATTCTCAACCACTTAAACAGAGTCTATTTGTTTTTAAAAACGTTAAGCTGGTGGATGGGGTGATGCACACCTGGAATCACAGTGACTTGGGAGGCTGAGGCAGGAGGATCAAAAGTTTGAGGTCAGCCTCAACCACTTAGTGAGACCCTGTCTCAAGATAATGGGAGTGTAACTCTCAGGCAGAAATCCCCTAGGTTTCATCCCCAGTCTCGGGGGAGTGGCAGGGGGGTGGTAAACCAGTTGCAGTGGCACACACCTGTAATCCCAGCAACTCAGGAGGCTGAGATAGGAAGAAGGATGCCAAGTTTGAGGCCAGCCTCAGCAATTTAGTGAGATTCTGTCTCAAGATAAAAAATAAAAAAGGACTAGAGATTTAGCTCAGTGGTAGAGCACCTGTGAGTTCAATCCCAAACAATGCAAAAAAAAAAAAGAAGTTAAAAACTCATAGACAGGGTAAGGTACAGGGGATAGAGTTTAAACAGCTGGTGAGGTGGGCAATAGCTCAGTAAACAGCTGGATTTTGTAAATAGCTGGACCTTGTTTCAGAGCACTAGAGAGCCACAGTACAGTTTTGAACTGGGAAAGTCCATGATCAGATTTTTGAGTTTTAAGGTCCTTCTAGCTGCCATGTGAAGGGGGGTTGCTTAGAGGTGGTCAGTCCAGAGGCCAAGAACCAGGGAGCGAGAGGTCAGGTGTGGACAGGGCAAAGGCTGAAAGGCCAATTTGAAGGCCAGGGATGTCAGAGACCTTCCCCACCCAGGTGCCCACCTTGTTGATGGCACAGCTGGTCCCCTGGCGGGCAGCCTTGCTAGTTGCTGGGACCAGGCGAGAAAGGTCAGCTCGGGCAGCCAGAACATGCGCGATGCAGACGTCTGACTCCGGGCTCAAAACCTCTCGAATTGGCATCAACACTGCCTTCATGGCCTTTCCTTGAGCCTGGAGGGGCAGAAAACAGGAAGAAGGTGCCCAAGAGCCTCCCTGGGTGGGATGTCATCTTGGAAGTGTCCCTTTCCCACTAAGGCCTCTGCATGCTTTGTATGTGGTTCATGCACTGGACACTTGGTCCACAGTGTAATGGTATTAAGAAATGGCGTAATCGTTAAGAAGTCGAGTCTAGGGGAATCATAAGGTCACAGGGACACCACCCTTAGGAGTGGTTAATGCAGTCCAGTGGGAGTAGGTTAGACCTCGCTGCACTGGACTAGTTACCAAGAGAGCTCACTTTATAACAAGTGAGATTCCCCATGTTTTGTTCTTTTCTACATGTGCCTGATTGCCACTCTTACAGGTACCCCCACTCTGTGATGCCACACAGTATGGGCTCTGACCATATTTGACTGCCCAAACTTGAACTTTTCAGCCTGTAAAACCATAAGTGACAATAAACCTCCTTATAAAGTACCCAGTCACAGGTACTTTGTCATGGCAACAAGAAACAGACTAAGATAGCATCACTGCCCACACCTCTCTCCAAGGGGTATAGTTCTGAAGACACTCCCAGCTCAGAGCTGGGAATTCTAGAATTCCCTGAAGGCTTGAGATTCTAGAAGCCCCAGATCTTACAAGATTCTAAAATGGTCTGGGCCTCAGAACTTCCAAGAGGATAATATTCCTGGCCCTCATTCCTCCACCTCACAGTTGTGGCCCCCACAACTAGGCCTCCTGCTCCTTCCAGTGTCCTGTGCCCACACCTTTGCCCGATCACTCCAGTGGAAAGCAGATGTCGTGAGGTCCAGGCGCTTGAGGAGGAGGCAGCGACGGCAGTAGTACTGATCTGCCAAGCTTCCGGATAGAGACTCCAACGCTTTCTGGAAGAAAAGGTCTGTCACACCCGGACCCCTCTCACTCCCGTGTCTGGATGTCACCTATAACTGTACATAGTCTTACCCATTGGGGTGCGTTCAGTGGGTAGCTGAGGAGGGGCTGCATGTACCCTGGGGGCAGGGAAGGCAGCAGCTCTGAAATCTGATGGGAGAAGAGAGGTCAACTGAAGCAGAAACAGGATGAACCCCTCCACGGGCCCCAGTTCCCCTCGACCCCGAGGACCCAGGCCACAGAACCAAGAATGGTGGCCTCAGTTCTAAAAACACAGCTATGTGATTGGGACACTCCCGCTAGGGCTTAGGGCTCCTTTTGGAAAGAAGAGCCAAGGAAGACGGGGTGGCTCCGGTCTCTACCTTGGCATGTAGCTCCCGCAATATCTGGCTGGCTTGAGTCCCTGGCATGGGTCTGGGCAGCCCCAGGGCTTGCAGGATGAGGACCAGTTCCTGGACCGTGCCAGCTTCCTCTTCTGCCCCGTCCCCAAGGGGCGTCACTGAGCTGGAGTCCAGCAGGGGGCGCAAGCACAAGAGGCGGGCAGCCTGGAGCTCAGAGCAGAGAAAGCCTGGAAACAGGAAAGGGATCCGTGCAGGTGCAGCGGAGGTGGACTGGGCCCCGCCACCTTCCAGCCCCTGCCCACCTGGAACACTGGCTCCGCCTCCAGAAGAAGCTTCACCCACTAGAGGCCGGGTGTCCCCCGAATTCGACTCCCGCCCACTTCAAAACAACCTGCGCTGCTCCATCTAACTAAACCCACTGGCGCTTCCAGAGTCTGTCGTCAAAATTCTAGCCCTGCCCACGTCGGGGCTCTCGGCCGGCCCCAGCGCTGGCCCCACCCACTTCGGACCCTCTGGCCCGCCCTAAAATTCTGACCACGCCTCCCTGGGAACCCGGACCCTCCATCAATGTTCCGAGCCCGCCCGCTCCGGAGCCCCTAGCCTCGCCCACTCCCGCATCCCGGGGCCGCCGCGGCTCACGCAGCAGGCGCAGGCCGGCGCCGGGTTCCCGCAACGCGGCCTCGCGGCCTTCGCCGCAGAGCGCGCGATCCGGGCAGTGCAACGCCCGCAGCAGTCCCGCCAACTGCCGCAGGAATCCCTCGTCGGCGCCGGGGCCTGCAGAAGGAGGGAGGAGTCAGGGCGCGGCCGAGCCCGCGGCTCCCCGCCTCCCGCCCCGCGGCTCCGTCCGCACCGTTGCCGACGCTTAGCACTTCTGCACCCTCCTCTCGCGGCTCCTCCAGAGTGCCCAGTGTCACCAGCTCCGCTGCCAGCCGCGCGCACAGCGCCCTGAAGCCTGGGCATGAGGGGCCCCTTGATGCCACCTCCGGGAAGTCCCCATACCTGCGGCGGGGGGTGGGTCAGTGCGATTCCTTCTCCGTCGGAGTCCTGAGTTAAACCGCTCTCCTGTCCCCCAGCCACACCACACACCGCCTTACCCCAGAGCTCGCAGGTCCCGGGCCACTGCGGCCCCCTCCTGCGCCTCTGCCTCCGCCCCCTCCATGGAAAAGTCGCCTTGGTGCCGGACTCGCGCCCCCTTCCGGCCGGTGGCAGGCTCCGCCCCAGGAGCGCCGCGCGCACCGCCACCGGACAGCGCAGGGTGGCGGCCCGGGCCAGTCAGCCTCTTGTCGAGAAAGGACTTCAGCGCTCCAATTGGCGCAGAAGGAGGCAGAACCCGCCCCCAAGTCCGCCCTCACCGCCCTTCAGGTAACCTGTCTGGGCTGTAAATTTCAGAGCGTTGGCTCAGGATCCCAGCTGTCGCGACAAGCTAATAAGTGTCTCTACTGTGGCTACATAAAAGCAGTTTGGGCCTCCTTTTTCTCAGTCTCCCTTGGTGGCCTTCTGATCTTCATGCATCCCAGTCTAGATGTTCTTCACACTTCACACAACTCCCGTCTCAAATCCTGAACCTTGCTTCCTCCTCTTCCTTATGAATGAAGTCAAAGATCTAGCTATTTCAGCTAACCTCTCACACCCGCTCCCCCACCTAGGCCCTCCTCAGCTATCCCAGTGTGCCCTTAGGCCCTCAACCCCCACTTCTCTAGGCCTTTGAGTGATGGAGCTGGGGCAATCCATGGCCTTCGTGAATAAGAGATTGCACCCAAGGAGGCAGGAAAACAGGATTAGGGTTTGACTCTGCCCCTCACCAGTTCCTGCCAAACTGCTTTCCATCTGTATAATAGGGATAATAATATAGTACCTACTCTTAGTTGTTTATGAGAATTAATTAGTCCTTATGTAAAAAGCACGAGGGTACTCAATTAAGAATAACAACGATGGCATTGAGTAATTCAGTTGTGCTACTAGGCTAAGTATCTTATCCCTATTTTACATAGAAGGTTCAGAGAATGTAAGTTACTTGGTGAATTCATGGTGGTGCCAAGACTCAAAGATCTAATTCCAGATTCCATGCTTTTAAACCCCTGAGCCTGTTATTGCTGCTGATGATTTTGTTTCTATCATTAAACATCATAGGTCCAGTTCTTATCTCTGATTGTCCTCCTTCTCTGGAAGTAGGTGAGTTGGGAGCCCCAGGATAGAACAAGGGTCAGAACCGGTCCCTGCAGAGTCCTGTCTACCCCAAGGCAGGGCACTTAGGGAAGACATCTGTTGCACTAAATAAAACATTAAAAATTGCCCAGTCCCAAAACTTGGACTTATATATAACCTTGACTCTTGTTTATTTCTTGGAAATTGAATCCAGGGCCTTGAATGTACTAAGCACACTCTCTAGTGCTGAGCTACATCCCCAGTTGTTATTATTTTTTTTAATATCAAACTCAGTATATAATCTGTGGACTCGACTTTCAAAATAGGTCCAGTGTCCTCATACTTCTCCCTCCCCCACCGCCCTCCCTTTGGTCCTACCCACCATGGTCCCTCCCTGGACCATTATGGCAGCCTCCACTGTCACCCTGCCTCCCCCCAAGTACCTGTTACCCAGAGGGGGCCTGTGAACCTGGGTCAGGTCTCATCCCACCCATGCTTGAAGTTTTCCTTCCTGTGGTTCCATCTGACTCAGGATAAAAAAACAAAATCCATACAATGACCTGCAAGATCTGCACTGTCCCTTCCCTCTCCTCCCCTCTAGATGCTAAAATCTCCCTTCATGTTCCTCAGACTTACCAGGCACCTCCTAGCTCAGACCTTGCACTGGCTTTTCCTTTTCCTCTGAACCAGACCACCTAACTTCCTCCAGGGCTGTATTTGAATGCCAGTTCCTGAATAACGCCTTACTTTTCCACTCTAGCTAAAATCTTCTGTCCCCCATGCTTCTTCCCCATCCTGCACTGGGGATGGAACCTGGGGTGCTCTCCCACTGAGCTACATCCCCAGCCCTTTTTGATTCTGAGACAGGGTCTTGCTAAGTTGCCTAGGCTGGCCTGGAATTTATGATTCTCCTCCCTCAGCCTCCTGAAATCACTGGTATTAACAGGTGTGCACCACCCCACCCATCTCTTCCTTATATTCTAATAGATTAGGTCTATTATTGTCTCCCCACTACAAAGTCATAAGCTCCAGTGGGAAGGGATTATTGCCTGTTCCAGCTGCTTTATACATAACAGGTGCATGATATATGGGGTGCCCAATGAATGTACTTGAATGACGGAGCAAGACTCTGCTGGACTTCTCTTGGGACTAAGGATGTAGAGGGGAAGGGACAACTGAGGCAGGAGACTGGTATGGCAATTCAGGAGCAGGAGTGGGTGGGGCGCGCCAATGCAAATAAAAAACTCAGGCTGAGACTTTGTCACAGACGTTTCTTGGAGCAGATCTCATGCCCCCTCCCCCGATGACAAGGCTGGGTCTTGGGCCCCCATCCTCCCCCCCACTTCAGCCTGCACTGACACTAACAATGTTGAGGTCACAGACTGGCTTGGAATCAAACTCAGGAAGATAAATGTTGGGGTGTCTCCCCCAAGCCTGGGGGCCAAGCATCCAATCTGAGGGGCAAGCAGCTGGGAAATCGGGCCTGGGTGCTCCAGGGTGTAAGGTCTTCCTGGCTCCCAGGGTCAGCCCTCCATGCACCCCTGATTTTGGGGTGATGAAGGGTAATCATGGATCAGAGGTGGGTATCAGCAGGGAACAGGACTGGGAGACCTGGGAGAGGCGGTGCTGGGAGGTGGGGGCTGGGCTCCCAGCCCCCACTGCTTCATCCAAAAATCCCACAGCACCATACAGCACTCTAGTCTCCTGTCCCACCCCTCCCCAAAACGAGGTAGGTTAAGAATGGAGCTTCCCCCCGCCCACCATGGAAGGGGGGAGACCGAGGCACAGAGAGGGGGATGGGGACCCAGGCTGCCCCAGCCCCCAGTCCCTCCGCCCTCAGCTCTGGTGGGTCTGACAGTGATGAGAGCTGGGCAGAGTGGGGATGGGAGGGACACCCCCCCTTTTCTCTCACCCATCCCAGGGTCTGGTTGGGAGAGCTGAATCTCACAGGTTCCGGATACAATAAATAGTTAATAATTTAAAGGAAGTGACAGTAGGATCTATCCCTTGAACCCCCACAAGGCCATCCAAGTCTGGGTAATAAAGAAAATGCACATTTCCAGATGCTTGAGGCCAGATGCAGGTCCAAGCCTGCAAAACATTGGGACTGTCTTGTTCTAAGGCCTCGGTTCCATCACACAGGACAACAGATCTTAAGGTACACTTGGACACCCCGCTCTACGCAAGGCAGAGAGACTGTGGCATCCCCCTTCCCTGTTAGGGGATGGGCCATGAAACAGGCTTTTGTTTTCCAGAACACACCCCAACTCTAAGATGGAAAAGGAGGCTCTCGGAAGGATGGGCTTAGACTAGGGCTGGGCTGAAGGAGGGCCTCCGAGGATGGAGATTACAAGGGTCAGCAGAACCACAGTTCACCCCAAAGGCGCCTTTGTGCAAGTGAGAGAAAGGCAGGCCTTCCTGAGAGCCCGTCTCAGCCAGCAGGCTTCAGTGGGGACTGCAGCCCCAGCATGCCACTGCAGCTGGGCGCTTTGCTTAGGGACGAATCTGCACCATCCTCTGTGGTGACACTGCGCCCTGGAGGTGGGGATGGGGAGCTCCTGGGTAGACCTGAATCTGGGCATCTGAGTTCAAGGTGATGAACTTTAGGATAAGGGCAATTCTGAGGATTGCTAGGGTACTGGGCTGGGGTCCTGAAAATTAGAATTCCAAAGTCCAGGAGCTTGGGGTCTCAGGGGCCTGTGCACGGCAGGATTCACAGGGCAACAGTTCCAAGCCAAGCCCAAGGAATCGGGCATAGAGGCATCTTGGGACTTCATCAGGTTAGACAAGTTTGAGTCCAAGAACTCTGGTATCCGAGGGTGCTAGGGTCCTGGGTCATCTTGGATCTGAGTGACTGTGGTATGGAAGGACCAAGGTCTTGAATTAGGAACAAGCCCAATGTTGTCAGGGCCCAAGCCCTGCATCTGACGGTCAATGGCACCTTGGAGTCTGGGATCCAGTGCTCTTAAAGCACCCTGGGGTCACTCAGGAGCTGGATGCCAAGGGTTGAGGTCTGGATTGCCATCCCATCTTCTAGGAGCTGGACTTCCACCTAGCCTTTAGGTGACCGGGGATCTGTGGATACAAGGAAGCCAAGGATTCTAGGGCATTTTGGGTCTCAACGTTCAGGTCCGAGGTGGACTGAAAGAGGGCTTTTTGAAGATCTGAGACAGTGTCTTTGGGCCCTGAGGTACTGGTGGCCTTCAGTGAAACGCTGGGAATATCACACACCTCAGAGTTCATATATGAGATTCAAAGCCCCCAAGAACACTGGTTTGGGGGTGGGTGAACCTACAAAGGTCTTCAATTCCTTATCTGCACAGCATCTTGGTGTCTGGTACCCGTGAAGTTCTGGGACAGGTCTCCTAAATCATTTTGGTCAGAGAACATCTCATGTTTGTGCATATCCAAGAACTCAACGCATCTTAAGTCTCCAGTCCTAGGACATCTGGGGTCACGTGTACAAGTTAGATCTTGGTGTCCGGGATCAAAGGCCAGGTCTGTGGGGCACTCAGTAGTGAGTAGACTTGAGGCCAGCATCTGCTGATTCCAGGGTTTGATGTCTCAGGGGTCCTGGGACTATAAGAACATCTCAGATGTGGAGTACCAGGTCCCATATGAACATTCAGGGACCATTTGGGGGTGATTTGGGGACCTGTGGTCTCAAGATCTGGGAGTAACTGGATACAGGCAGGAACAGGTATTGGCAACTCCTAATTATGGGGCTATTATAATCTGAGGGTTATGGTGCCAGTGTGAAGGGGGTCTGAGTTGGTCAAATGCATAGGGAGTCAGGGCTCAAGGTCCCTACATCTCTCAAAGATCTGTGTGCTTCCCAGGCCCTCTGAAATGCAGTCCGGGGAGTAGCGAGTGTCCTCAGCAGGGAAGAAGGATGGAGAATCCAGAACTCAGGCCTGGGTGCTCTTGACAGATATCCCAATGAAACTCGGCTTGGTGCTACTCAGTCATCGATCTAGGGTCCAGGTTCCAGGTCTGGGATTTCTCAGTCCAAACTCAAGCTTCAAGTTCCAAATGTGCCTAGGTTTGGGTTTTAGATTCGAACCAAGTCTGGGGTCCTGGACCCTTAAGTTGGGGTCCTTGGTCTGGTCCAGCAACCGGACCCGCCAGGCAGTCCTCACCGCGCAGCTTCCTCGTGGCGACCCCCACAGCCCGCGCAGCCGCATCTTGCAGCGACCCAGTGGCACGCGCGCAAGGGGGCGTAGCAGCAGAGACAGGGCACTGCCAGGGAGAGCGCCGCCAGGGCGGCCCAGCGCGCGGCGGGGCGCGGGTGACCTGGCTCGCAGGCGCAGGGGTCCGAGAAGTCGCCCTCGGCGTCCGACAGGCAGTGATAGAGCAAGCTCTCGGCGCACCACAGGCAGCTGAGTCGGCGCACCAGTAGGCGACCGGGGTCCGGGGCCTCTGCACAGCGGCCACCACGCCCGTCTGCGCGGCGGCGGAAGAGCGCACGGCAGTGCACGCAGCGCGCTGCCTCCTCGGCCTCAGGGGAGGCCTTGGCGGGTGCAGGGGTAGGGCCTGGGCCCGGGGGTGGGCGGGCTGGGGGTGCTGGGGGTGCAGCCTCGGTGAGAGGGGCAGGTAGTGACACGGGGGGACCCAGGGCCGCACCCCTCAACGTGCCAGTCTTGGCGAAGCGCACCACGCAGGTGGACAGGGCCAGGGGCGGGGGAGGCCCGGGGCGCCTGTAATCCTCATAGCCGCGTCCGCCCCAGCCCTGGCCGCCGGCCCCCGCCACGGACTCCGCCAGTTCTGGAAGCCCGGTGAACGGTAGAAGCGGAGGGTAGCTCTGCAGGACGAAGGGACAGGAGATCAGGTTAGCCGTGCCTCACCCACCCCACCACCACCACCTCCCAACCGCAGAAGACCCAGGACTCCACAGCCAACCACCGAGCCGCAGGACCCATCACCCAGGGACCCGGGGCCTTAGGACACTCCTGGCCTGCGGATTCAAACCTCAGGACCCAGCCTGCCCCTAGCCCAAGGCCCCTCGGCCGCCCCTTTCCCACGGTCAGAGGAGTTCAGGCCTGACCATACTTGAAGGACCTCTTGGCTTCAGCCTCCCTGTCCTGGTCCCTCTCCAAATCCGCTCCCAGAGCTCCCAGATCCCAGCCAGCTCCCGCTTCAGGACTAAGAAATCCAGACTCTGGGTCCCTTTTACCTTGGGTACCGAGCTAACCAACGAGTGAATTAAGTCGTTTAAGGAGCCCTTCTGTGAGTACCACCACCACCCTGATACACTCCAACACTGTCCCATAATCCCCAAGTCCCTCTGGAATTCAGAACTCCCCCAAATCTCCAAGAGCCCCCCAGATACGGGAAAACCCAATCCAACCTCAGGTCAGGCTTGCCTGGCTCTGGGCATCCTCTTTTACCACCCTCCACCCCCTCCCCTTAGGGACGGCGGCACCCAAACTTCCACTGGGGGGGGCAGAGGTCGCACCTGAGCGGAGGAACGGCGGCGCTGGGGGGGCGTGGCCGGCCCGAAGGCAGAAGCTGACTCCAGGGTGATGATGGGGGCTGCTGCTGCAGCCGGTGGCGTCTCCTGGCGGCTATGACTAGAGGAGGAGTCGCTGTCCACATGGGACTGGGGGAGATTGGCAGTCTCAGCACGGAGACACGCCCCTCTTCCCAGCAGCTGAAGCACTTACATAAACCCCCTCCCGTGGAGATCAAGGGCTCTGAGGCCAGCCAAGCCTGGGTTTAAGCCCAGCTCTGCCACTGGCTCCTGCAAGTGAGCTCACCTCTGAGCCTCAGTTTCCACCTCTGTAAAATGGAGGTAATAATAATAATACCTATTCATAAGGATGTAGTTAGGACCCACTATAAAGGACACCACCCATGTCCCAAGAACAGAAAGAGCTTGAAATGGTTATCATTAGACTCCTTTTTTTTTTTTTTTTTTTTTTGAACCCAGGGGTGGGTGCTTAACCACTGAGCCACATCCCCAGCCCTTTTTGTATTTTATTTAAAGGCAGGGTCTCACTTAGTTTGCTAGGGCCTCGCTAAGTGGCTGAAGCTGGCTTTGAACCCACAGTTCTCTTGGACAGCCTCCAGAACCGCTGGGATGACAGGTGTTCGCCACTGTGCCTGGCCCCAGTCCCCTTTTATTTTATTTTTGATATTGAGACAGGGTATCCCCAAGTTGCCCAGGCTGGCCTTGAATTTGTGATGCTCCTGCCTCAGCTTCCTAATACCTGGCATTACTAACTTTGACTGCTGCTCTTCTTAACTACTCAGCTCTGTGACCCACAGTACACGGAACCATCTAGCTTCCCTTTACCCTTCTCCCTTGGCCAATCAGCCATCTTCCTGCCTCATTCTCACCACTACACCTTTATGGGGGAATCACCACCACCTGGAATGCCTTCCTTCCTGTCCAAATCAGGTTGTCCTTTACCAACTGAAGTCTGTCACTTCTCAGACCCTCTGTAAGCTTTCTGTAAGGTGAGCATAATTCCACCTCCTCTGTTCCCTACATTCAATACACATTCATGGCGTGCTAAGCGCAAAAGCCCCTGTGCAGATTGAGCTGAAGCACGGACAGCTGCATCTTTCAAGTAAGGGCACCATAGACAGGAAATGTGGGTGACTGCTGTGGACCCACCTCCATTGCCCATTATCCTGAGATTCTCCCCTGTTCTGCTCCAGGAACAAGTTTTGTTTCCCCAAGTGCTCTCAGCAACTCCCACTGTTCCCAGCAAGCACCAAAAGGTACCTGAGAGTCTGTGCATTCATTTATTCCACCTATTGATTCAACACACTCATTCAACTGCGTACCTGACACTGTCTTCGGCATTAGAATTGCAGCATGAAACCTACAAAAGATCCTTACCTCCCAGAGCTGACACAGGAAGTGGATGGTAAATAAATAAATAAGAAAGATGCTTTTTCAGAAAACAAAGAAGGAAAATGTCTTAGATGGAAAAAAATTAGAGCCTGATAAGGGGCAGTAGGAGATTGTAATTTTAAAAGGTTATTCAGAGAAGCCATCACAAGGTGATATTTGTTTAAAGCCCTGAAAGAAGAAAAGGAGCCATGTAGGAATCTGGGGAAAAAGTGTTCCAGACAGCAGGGTCAGTGCAAAGGCCCTGAGACAGGCATGTGCCTGGAGTGGAGTGAGAGTAAAGAGGCCAGTGAGGCTGGGGCAGGGAAAGTAAGGGGGACAGCGACTCAGGGCCAGATGGTGGGGGATCTTATGTGCCACTATGAGGACTTTGTCTTTTACCTAGAGTGAGACAAAGCCCTGGGAGGGTTCTGAGTGGGGGAGGGGTAAAATCTGACTCAACTGCCAACAGGGTTCCCAGGGCTTTGTGTGGGAAAGAGATGAGGGGGAGGGGAAAGGAAGAGGAGAGGAGATAATGAGACCCTACTGGGACAGTGCAGTTGGAAAATGAAGTTGGACAGTACAAGGGGTGGGGGGGGAGAGGCAGATTCTGACCATTCTGAAAGTAGAACCAATAATTTGCTGACACATTAGAGGAGAAGCATAAAAAGGATGATCCTTCCCCAAGGTTTGTAGTCCGAGTAACTGGCATATGGAATTGTCTTTCATTTGTTCACCCATTTACCTTTTTTTTTTTTTTTTTTGAGACAGGGTCTCACTAAGTTGCCAAGGCTGGCCTCCAACTTTCAATCTCCCTGCCTCAGCATCCCAAGTAGCTAGGATTATGGTGTCCACCACCACATCCAGCCCCATTTTTATTTAATCACCTATAAAATATATCCTTTTTCTGGCCTTTCCTGCACGAGAATAGAAGCTCCAAGAAAAAAGGAACTGTTTTGTTCACTGATGTATCTCCAGTGCCTAAAACACTGCCTGGTACACAGACGGTGCTCAATAAGTACCCTGGAATAAGGTGTAAATCATCATGAACAACAACAACAACAACAAAGTAGAGTAACTGGAATTGAACTGACACTAATAGTTTGGGTCTATTTTGTGTCCCCAGCATGTGGCCCAGCGCCTGCTACACAGGAGGTGCTCAGGGATGTTTCTAGATGAGGAACCAAGCCCAGCCCTCCCAGCAGAGGCACCCAGACTCACCGTCAGAGGGCAGGGAGTCTCGGCAGTGTCCTGGGAAGGGGAGGAGGAGGAGGAGGAGGAAGAGGAGGGAGTGAGCGAGCCTGGGGCAGGGAAAGAGGCAGAGAGTGAGTCCCCAGGCGCCAGCTTCTCCTGGGACTGCCCCCAGCCCCAGTGCCCTCTGCCCACAGCCTGCACATTCACCTCGGCCCAGAGCAGCCAGCGCAGCTAGCAGGCTCTTCTGGAACTCGTCAGCCTCTGCAGGACTCTGAAATGTCAGTCCGAACTTGCAGTCTCCCAGGCTCCAGTGGTGGAAGATGGGGTTTACTTTGTTGTAAACCAAGCCTGGCCGCAGGGTGCACTCCAAGGTGGTCTGAGGGGCAGGAGGGGGATGGGTGAGACACAGGACCTAGCCACAGCTGTGACTTCCCCTCACTCACCCTTGCCCCTCTGCATACCCCAGCATCCTACCAACCTCATTCCCCAATCCTGCTTATACCCCTGAACCCTGATACAATCCTCCAATTTTATGGAATGCACCTCTGATACTTCAATATTTCCTTCAATCATTTGATCATTATATTTTCCTAATATTCCCCTGTGATACCCTGGTAGGAATCCCAATTTCTTTCTTTCTTTCTTTTTTTGGTACCGGAGATTGAACTCAGGGGCACTCAACCACTGAGCCACACCCCCAGTCCTATTTTGTATTTTGTTTAGAGAAAGGATCTCACTGAGTTGCTTAGCACCTTGCTTTTGCTGAGGCTGGCTTTGAACTTGTGATCCTCCTGCTTCAGCCTCTAGAGCTGCTGGGATGACAGGCATGCGCCATTGTGCCCAGCAGAATTCCAAATTTTATTGACTGCCTAAAGCATTGTTAATACCTTTCCGATGACCCAACATGCCCCCTTCAGACTCAAAGCACTCCAAGAAAAAAGGAACTTTTTTGTTCACTGATGTATCTCCAGTGCCTAAAACACTACCTGATACACAGAAGGTGCTCAATAAGTACCCTCAACCTTTAGTGAACGTGGTGGTGCATGCCTGTAATCACAGCTCGGGAGGCTAAGGCAGGAGGATTGCATGTTCAAAGCCAGCCTCAGCAATTTAGTGAGACCCTGTTTCAAAAAATAAATAAATAAAAAAGGGCTGGGAATGTAGCTCCGCAGTAATGCACCCTTGGGCTCAATCTCCAGAACCAAGGAAAAAAAAAAAAAATATATATATATATATCTATATATATATATCTATATATATATCCATCCTCTTCTAATGTTTCAATAGTCTTCTAAACTCTTACCCCAATTTTTTATTAAACTTCCAAATTCCCCCTCAGTGTTGGCCAGCACCCTTGATGTGCCCTCATGTTCTTGTCTAACATGACGACATTCCTCCATAGCATTTCAAATCCCCCTACATTGCTTCTAGAAACCTCTGCTCTGAAAGGGTAGCCTTCCCTCAAAACCTTTTCAAAGAATCCAAATCTTCCTACTACATCTCCAGCTGAAATTTCCACACTGTCCCTCCACATCAGGCCAGACAGCCCGGTGATTCCTGTTGAACTCACAGGCAGAATTGTCAACTATATTTGGCAATTCCAAGCAGACACCCACTGAATGCCTCCATATACTTAGGGTACACAGGGGTCAGTTGGATTAGGCCCTCTGGCAAGGGTCTGTGAGAAAGACAGAGCTGGGGAAGGGTTCTGAGTGGAGGAGGGACATGATCTAAGGTGGGTGTCAGCAGTGCCCCTGTGGAACAGACTGGGGATGAAGCAGGAGCAGGAACCAGGCAGGAAGACTAGTCAGGAGGTTGCTGCAACACACTAACAGGCCACGTAATAGAAGGACCTGCCCGATACCCCAATATTCCCCAAATTCCCAGCTCTCATCTGTAGGTCAGGGTCATTTCCAAACTCCACCCGAGGTCCCAGTTTGATTCCCAGGCTGGAGGACAGCCTGCCTTCTCTGCACGCCAGGCCATTCCCCTGCCTCCCCGGCCCCACCCTACCCCACGCCCCAGGGTGGCTCACTTTCTGGTCCCGGAGGCGCTCCCCGTGGATGACGTAGTGCCCCTGGCGGGCCCCCCCCTCGGGCCTGGCCCCTCGGACCCGACATACGCTCACCTGGCTGAGGCCCCCGCCCCCCACAGGCAGCCAGCCCCCACTGGAGTCATCTCGGGCCATCACCACAGCTCGGACCCGCACCATGTACCTGGAGGAGGTTGGGAGGACAGGGACAACAGTCAGTGAAGTCAAATCCTGTTTTCCCCCTCAGTGTTCTCCCAGCCCTGGTCTCCCTGGCTTCACCGCTCACATCGGGATGCCCCAGCCACCAGTACTGGCTGTCTCCTCTCGTGTCCACTTTATTCTAGCATGGCTTCTTTCTTCCTTGTGACATCTCTTCTCTCCCGTGTCTACCTTCTCCCAGACACCTATCTTTTCTCTCCATACCCACCTTTCCCCCATCTTTCCCATCACCAGCCCCAGAGCCTTAGTTTTTCATTTCCCCTCCCCCTCCTGCTCATACCCTCAACCCGGTCTCCTTCCCTCTCAGCACAAACCCACAGCCCCACCCATCATCCCCCCTCACAGTTGGGTTCCTGCGCATATGTATTTCTCAGGGCCCATCAACTCAGCTCCAGTTCTCTCAACCTGCCTCTGCACCCTGTCACCCAGGCCACTGGCTGGGTGAGAAACCCTGGCTCTCTTCCCCCCACCCCTTCCCGGATTTATGAATGAGACCGGATGCAAAGCTCACTGAGTCACCCAGCAACGGGGAGATGGACAGGGAGCAGGGAGAGAACCAGAAATGGCCAGAAAGAGGCCGAGAGAAAGAGATGGAGGCAGAGGAAGCCAGAAACCCGCAACTGAAGATATCCTGGGAGCATTTCATTCACAAAAATCAAGGCTGCTCCCTCAGGTCCCGGCCGAGTGAAGCCAAGGGGAAGAGATGGGAGGTGGGTGGGGAGATCAATACCCCTCCCCAGCATCCTTCAAAAATATTTCATCCTGCCCACCCCCCAGCTCAGGAGACAGAGCCCTCCCCCCAGTAATTTGGATTAGCGTCCAGCCCCTCACTGCCATCCAGCGCAGGGACCCAGGCGTCCCAACCTTAGGATCCCAGGCAACGAATTCTAGCCCCCTCCCCCACCTGCAGGCTGCCGGGTTTCCCGGGGCCTTCGGGAGGGGAAGGGGCGGTCGCAGCGCCCCCAGCCCCCTTTTCTCAATGGGATGGGATTTTGTGAATGAGCAGTCACGTGACTCTGCTTCCTTTGTCCGCCCGCCTCCCCCGACAACAGGTGAAGCAGGGAAAGAGGGCAGGGGTCCCCCCGCAGGGCCTAGCTGGGCTGGGGCACCAGTATCTCGGGGTGCCCTACGCTCCTCGCACATCTGTGTTTCCCCGGGGAGTGGTCCTCAGAGTTCCTCAATGGTGAGGGTCCAGGACGGAATTTTGTGAATGAGGAGTCCTTGGAGGAAGTCCAGGACCCCAAATGGAGACTGGTACCCTAAATGGCTGCCGCGCAGTTTGGGGGCCCCCATCCCCTTGTCCTCCCAGCCGGGGTCCGCGGGGCGCCGGGGTGGGCAGAAGGCGCTGCGCGGTCCTGGCCGCCCCCTCACTGGGGCAGGCGGTCTGTCAGCCCCCGCCCCCTCGCGGCCCTCTGCACCTGCCTGGGAGGCTCCGGCCGGGCTCCGAGCGGCGGCGACGCGGCCTCCTCCTCCTCCTGTCTGCTCCGGCTCCCTCGCTGGCTCCGGCGGCGCTGGAGACGGGCACCGGGAGCCGGGGGAGGGGGGAGGGAGGGGGAACCTGGAGGACGGGTGGGGGGGAGGGGGCGGTTTGGGGGAGGGGTAAGAGAGAGGCGGGCATACTCGCCCGCTGGGTCCTAGAGCCCGGCATAGGCCGCTAGGAACAGCCCCCCAGCCCCCATTTTCTCAGGATGCAGAGCGGATCCTTCACTTTTCCACTCATACGCCTCATACGCTCCTTTGGTCCCCGAGGATATACGGAGGGGACCGGAACAAGGCTTGGTCTCAGGGTTCTAAAGAGGCGGTGGTCTACAGTTTGGGCTCTAAATGGGAGGGGCTGGGTGCCTGGCAGTGTTCGAAAAGAGGTGGGGCAAAGGGAGAATTCGCAAGGGGGCGGGGTTGGAGAGACTGAGTAAGAAGAAGGTTTGGATGCTAAAGGAACCGACAAGAGGGTGCGTCATGGAAGGGGTGGGTCCACCGAGGATGGACCTCCTGGACTGGCGGAGGGAAGGAGAGGGTCCAGGAAAGAGGTACTGCCAGATCCTAAAGAGGCGGGGCTTAGAGATACATTGCCTTGGGGGCGGGGCAGAGAAGTCCCAAAGGGAGGAGCTACGTAGCAGTGGTCGTAATGGGTGGGACGGGGGTGGGGGAGATAACGATGGGCGGGGCATTCTAAAGGGGTGGAGCTAAAGAGAACGTTCTAAAGGGGTGGGGCTTATGAACAGATGGCCTGGGGGCGGGGAAGAGGACTTCGGAGTTTTTCAAAGGGAGATCCAGGGGCCTCGAGCCCGGGGGCGGGGCATAGATCTCGGGGTCCGCCCTCGCTGTCTCGCCCACTTGCCTTCACCCGCACCCCCGTTCTTTTCGGTTATTTTCTGCTACGGCCGTTCCCTGCCCTATCCTGGGCCCAGGGGGCTGCGGTCTGAACTTTGGTAGGCTGGAGAAGTCGGTGAGTGGGGTCTTCTGGACGGAGACAGGGCGGAGCTTGGGGGAGGGGTGGAGCCCGAGTGTTGAGACCGCTGGTAGATCCGGAGCGGGGAAAAAAAGATTGAGGTTTGAGGATATGCGGCTGCCTGCGAACAGGGAGGGATCCAGATGATCGACAGAGACTGGATGGTCGGAGGGTTAACATGCTCAGAACACCCGGTATTTGTTGGTCAGAGGCAGGGCCAGACAGCAGGTGGGGGCGGGGTGGGGTCGAGGGCAGATTCCCCCGACAATCGGGGGCGGGACCAGAGAGTGGGGCGGGGCCTAGGCCCCTGGAGAATGATTGGAGTGCTGGGAGAGAAGCCTGAGCTCCTGTAGGCTACAGGGCACAACCATCATTAGCGGTGTGGCCGGACAGACAGACCGGAAGGCGGGCAAGACCTGAGTCTTGAAGTCTGGAGACCCTGGGCTTGGCCAAAGTGTAGGGATGTGCTTTAAGGAACCAGCCAAGGAAATAGGGGTGGAACCTTAGAACTTTAAGGGGTTGGGGCCTAAATTTCTTACCAGCAGCTTATGAGGGGTCACGGGGAAGTAGGCGTGAGCGTCGAGATTCTGGAAACAGAAGACTGGAGACGAGAGCTGAGTAGATATTGGAGGACAAGGGCGGGGCCAATGCAGACGGATAAGTTCTGGAACAGACAACGTCGTGGGGTCCCCATTGCCCTGGCAGACTGACTGGCTAAAGTTTTTCTGACCGCAGTCCTCGACCTCCGTCGGAAATGGGGAACGCGCAGTCGGAGCCATCCGCGGGCGGGGGCTCCCGAAAAGAACAGGCCTCGGATCGCGCCTCTGACTCCCGCCGGACGTCCCTGGTGGAGCCCGAGGTGACCCCCTCCTCCCCGGCCGTGCGCCTGGCTCGAGGGCTGGGTGTCTGGTTCCCTGGCAGCTCCGCGCCCCCGGGACTCCTGGTACCCCCGGAGCCCCAGGCCTCACCCTCACCACTGCCCCTGACCTTAGAACCGCCCTTGCCAGTGACGCCCCCTCCAGAGGAGGCGGCTGCAGCCGCAGTCTCCACACCACCCCCTCCCCCAGTGGGGACCCTGCTGCCCGCGCCGTCTAAGTGGCGAAAACCCACGGGCACTGCGGTGCCCCGGATCCGCGGCCTGTTGGAGGCGAGCCATCGCGGACAGGGCGACCCTCCGAGCCTCCGCCCGCTGCCACCGCTGCCCAAGCAACTAACTGAAAAGGAACCTGTCCCGAGAGCCCCAGCCCCTCCTCCTCCGACGCCCCTGGAGCCACGAAAGCCACCACCACTGCCACCTTCAGACCGGCAGCCCCCAAACCGCAGAATCACTCCAGCTCTGGCCACATCTGCCACAAGCCCCACAGAAAGCCAGGCCAGGCACATCGGCGAGGGTCAGACGGCCGGTGGGGCCCGCGGAGGGGCTCCTCCCCAAGCGGGCGAAGGCGAAATGGCTGAAATGGCTCGGTCTGCGGCTTCCGAGTCCGGCCTGAGCCTGCTATGTAAAGTCACCTTCAAGTCCGCACCCCCTTTGTGCCCTGCGGCAGCCTCGGGTCCCTTAGCTACCAAAGCCTCGCTCGGGGGCGGTGGAGGCGGAGGACTCTTCGCTGCTTCAGGTGCCATCTCTTACGCTGAGGTCCTGAAACAGGGACCCCTCCCACCTGGAGCTGCTCGTACCCTGGGAGAGGTCCCTCTTGCGGCACAGGAAACGGAGGGAAGGAATGGAGACGGCGAAGGGTGTTCTGGTCCCCCTGCGGCGCCTGCGTCCCACGCCCGGGCCCTACCCCCGCCCCTCTACACCACATTCCCAGGCTCAAAGCCCAAATTCGACTGGGTTAGCCCTCCCGATGGCCCTGAACGCCACTTTCGCTTCAACGGGGCTGGCGGAGGTGTTGGGGCTCCCAGACGGCGCGCGGCTGCGCTCTCTGGACCGTGGGTTTCCCCTCCGCCACCACCAGGGCAGGCTCACCCAACTCCGGGGCCCCGGAGGCCCGCGCCTGCCCTGCTGGCGCCGCCTATGTTCATCTTCCCGGCGCCCACCAATGGTGAGCCCGTGCGCCCTGGGCCACCGGGTCCACAGCAGTTGTTGCCGCGACCGCCACCGCCCACGCCACCAGCTACGCCGCCACCAGTGCCGCCACCCACACCGCAGCCTCCAGCGCTCCAGCCAACGCCGCTGCCGGTGGCCCGTCCATCCACCCCATGCTCTGGCCATGTGGAGTCTGCCCTGGCTCCCGCCCCAGCCCCTGCGATGTCCCCTGCCTTGGCTGGCGAACAGGCCCAGGCACCGGCCCAGGCCCCATCCCCAGCTCCAGCTCCCATCACCGCCGAACCTGCGCCCCCACCCATCAAGGCTCGCACGCGCAGAAACAAGGGTCCCCGCGCGGCCCGTGGAGTGACCCGTGAGGACGGCGCCCCTGGAGATGGTCCTCGCGAACGGACTGCAGCTACCGTGACTGACAGCGGCGGTGGAGGGGGTGGTGGCAGTGGGGCCCCTACAGCTGGGGCAGCTAGCTCGGGTGCCGCGCGCCACTGGCCGCCCTTCCAGGTGCTTAACTCTTGTCCCTGCAAGTGTTACTGCCGCCACCAGCCGCGTCATCGCAGACTGCCCCGCAACGTGTCTGCCTGGTGAGCGGAAGTCTGGAATGTAGGGAGGGGAGGGCATACCTCTTTTAAATCTTGAACCAGATTATCCAAGATAGACCCTCCCTTACCTACAACTCAAATCTACCTGAGCTCCAATCCTTCAGGACCCTGAGAAGCTTTCCTGACACCCTGACTGGGAAGAGGGGACACCTTGACCCAGCCCCTTGGTTTCAGACCCCCAAGCTGACCTGTGGCCCTTCAGCTACCCTGGAGCCATCAGGGAGGGAAGCTGGTTCCAGCTGGCCTGACCTTATCCACTGCCTTGACCCCCATGCCTGACAGCACCAAATGGGGCCATGTTCCAAGCTCTTCAGGGAGGGGAGGAAGATGGCATCAAAGGGGTAAATGTAGATCCCCAACTTCTCTGGACAGGGGAAGCCCTGACCTAGCCCCCTGTCTACTCTGGCAACTTCTGACTCTGGGAGCCAAAGTTTTAACCACCAGGGAGCACTGATGCCCCAGCCCTTGTGCTGCAAAGCCTACTCCAGAGTCCCCAGAGCCAGGAGAGCGCCTGTATCCTCCAGCACCCCTCCCCCCAGGCCAGATCTCTCAGCCTTCAGGAGCTTCTACTCAGGGAAAGTGAAGCCCCAGAAGAGGTAAGGGCCTCACAGGCCTTTGTGGATTTTTCCCTCTTCCCAGGCTGAGCACACCCACCAACCACCTGAGCGAGCCACCCTGGGTGGCCACCATCAAGCTCGCTGGCTCCCTGGTAGCTGGGCTGGAGCACTATGACTTGCAGGCCACCCATCCCAACTGAGTGCAGTCAGCGCCCTCTGTCTTCCCCTCCATGCCAATAAAATAACCAATCCACGTGCCTAGTTGCCTGTCAGTCACCCACTGTGGGCTGAAAGAGTAGGGTGAGGAAAAGGCAGAAGTCCATCATAGCACCACATAGGGTCCATTTATCCAGCATCTGCACCGATGGGGGGGGGGGTCTCATTTCCCATCAGCTTTTTTCATTTCTGAGCTAACCTGATGCCAAGCTCACATTCTAGAACAAATCACTCTGGAAAGAAGCATTCCTAGTTTACAGTGGGGAAGACCAATTCTGGATGACTTTCTTGAAAATTCCACAATCCACAAATGGCTCAGCCAGATTTAGTCTAGCACCTTAAAACATCTTCCCAAGAACTTCAGGCAGGAAATGTAGACTGGCGTGCAGGGTGGTCCTAGGTCACAGCACTAGCTCACAAACAGGGACAAGTAAGGCAAGCCTCTGCAGGGGCCACACTTTTTGTTCCAGTGGTAGCACACAGATTCCATTTTGCATGTCATTTGTAAAATTATTTAATCCGCTGCCAACATGGGACACTTCATACCCTTTGCCGAAAGATTCGGATACCCTGGCCCAACATTCCAATGTGTCCATTTGGAGCCTGTGCTCTTTGTGGGCCACAGGGCGTCTGTATTTGAGACCAGGAGCAATAGCCAATAGCCACTGGACAGAGGCTGCCTAGATGGTGTTATCTCAAACCCCCAATTCCAGGTTCTCCAGAGATGATAGTTTCTCTGCCATCCCAACTGGGTATATACAAGGGTCTGGAAGAATGAATGTCAATCCACCTTTATTGGAGGACAGGTTGCACTGTGACAGTTTTAAATAACCAAGGGCCAGTGGGCTCAGACAATCATCTCCAGCTGCCGGGCATACTCGATGACTTGCTTGGCCAGTTCCGTAGAGGGGATGATGGTGTCTTCTGGCTTCTGCTGCTGGCTGGCAAAACTGTAGTAGTTGTTGGGGCCCAGGACCCACCCTCGCTGCAGGAAGGGAAGAATAAAAGATGGGTGATGTGATCCCAAAGGCTGTCTTTCCACCCCATGGAGCCACCACTCACCCATGTGTGCCACGGCTCCCTCTCATGACTCCCCCCACTACCTACACAACTCTAGGCAAAGAAATTCACTCTCTCTGCTCTGGTTTTTCCATGTTCAAGACAGATACCCTCTGGGTCCACCATAAGGATTCAGTGAATCAAAACCTTTGAAATGATATTTGGCCTAGAATAAGTGATCAACAACTGCCATCATCACCCACACTCAATTTCACCCCTTTTACAGTCTGCTCTTGACTCTCCTCCTGCCTCCTAGGACACCAGGATCACTGTGCACCATGAGTCACCATTTCCAGAGGCAATCTCCTGCTCAAATGTTCCATACTAAAGGAAGCAAAGTCTGACAGAAAAAGTTGCCACTTTTAAGGAATTCTAATAAAGGCAAAAGCCAGCCCAGCATGGTGGGGCACCTTTCAAGTCTCAACTACTTAGAGGCTAGGGCAGGAGGCATGCAAGTTTATGGCCAGACTGGGCAAATTGGTGAGAACCTGTCTCAAAATTAAAAAATAAAAGGACTGGGGATGTAGCTCAGTGGTAGAGGGCCCTGGGTTCAATCCCCAGTGCCAGGGAGGCAGAAAGGGGGCAAAAGATAATATGTGCAGTGTACCACCTCCACCTGAAGCCAGGTGCTAGGCTAAGCTCATCCCACATATTAAAACTCTATTCTATGGATACACAAGCTCAGAGATTTGGCCACTTGCCTAAGGACCACATACAACACACAGCTGGATTCAAATCTGAACAGTCTTGTCCCCCCAGACCGCCCCACTGCTCACTAACACATGCTAAGAGCATGCCCCCCTTGGCTCCACAGCCCCTTGTCCTGCACCCCAGCCACCTTCTTAGCGTAGTCTGTCATCTTTTTGGGTGTGTTGAAGAAGAGGATCCGGGTGGCCTCAGTGAAAAGGATTTTCTCGTAGGCCTTCTCAATGCATCCTGCAATCTCGTCCCTGGGGGAAAATAATGAGGTTCCCGTTACTGAACACAACCCCCCAGGTCCCGTCCTCCTGAGCCTGACAGGTGCCAGCTCTGACCTTTCGGTGCAGCACTGATGTCTGGAATGTTCCTGCCCTATTTTACTAGCAGAGGCTTAGAGAGAGGAGTAACTTGACCAGAATCACAAAACAAGCAAGGGCCACAGGGGATCCACATTTAGATCTCTCCGACTCCCGGAACTGTGGAACCAAACTCCAATCCCACTCCCGGAACTGAGGAACCAAACTCCAATCCCAGTCCAAGATGGGAGGATTTGAGACTCTCTGAAATCCAGCCTGGGATTCCCACAAGGGGCTTTCTTCCCATAAACCCTCCTCACAAGAGTGCTGCATCCTACTTCACAGAGCTCAAGGGGTCCCTTGAATCCATGAACAGCAATAACATAGCAAAGCAGCTACGCACCAAGTTCTGGAATGGGGTGAGCCCTGGAGAAAGACGGGGATAAGGAAGAACGTGGGCATTTCTGCAATGTCACATCTCTCAGGAAGAGGGTAGGTATGGGCTCTCACAACAAATGAGGTTTGGGAGAGGTATGTCTTTCACAACAAATACCCTGGTTTGTTAGAATGCTTGCCCAGCATGCATTAAGGGCTCTGGGTCCCACCCTCAGAATCTTACAAAAAAAAAAAAAAAAAAAAAGACAAGTCCCTAAACCAATTAGGCCTTTAGTCCCAGCTAAGGCAAGAGGATCACTTAAGCCCAGGTTAGAGGCCAACCTGGGCAACTTAGACCCCCATCTCCAAAACCAACAATAACAACAAAACACTATTCCATGTCTTTACACTTGCCTTTGTCACCCCAAAAAATGGAGGGGCTGGTGATATAGCTCAGTTAGTAGAGTACTTGCCTTGCATGCACAAGACCCTGGGTTCAATCCCCAGCACCACACACATACAAAAAAAAGGAAACCCATTCCAATCTGGTACTTCACCCAAGTGAACCAGCTGTGCCACCAACTTTGACACTCTTTTATTTTAACTGTATTTTATTTATTTATTTATATGTGGTGCTGAGGATTGAACCCAGTGCCTTACCCGTGCCAGGCAAGCACTCTACCACTGAGCCCCAGCCCCTTGACACCCTTTTATACCTCAAAAGGGACTTATATGTCATACCCACCTGCCCCTGTATAGACAGCAACCCCAGGAGCTGACAGGACTTGGTGGCCCCATTCTAGACAAGGGAAACTGACTGTTGCAGAGTTTAGGTGCCCGGAGGTGAGGTTATATGACTCACTGGATGCATCTTTGGCCCAGAGATGGACTGGAACACTTCTCAGAGAGGCAGCATGGCCCCCATCTGCTGAGCTGTCTGGGTGCCACACCCAGGCTCAAGTTCGACCCATGGCCAACCATGTAAACAGCCCGAGGGACAAGCGGAGAGCTGTTGTCCACAATAGCATGACCAGTTCCATTTCACAGAAAAGAACTAAGATGCTAGGATAGAAACATGCCCAGCCTACCCAGATCACGAGTGGCCAGAAAGGATTTCAAATTCAGGGCTGTCTATGCCAGAGGCTGAGCTCTTTCTGAACCCCACACAGTTCTGGTTCCCTACACACCTGATAGTGTCCAGCAGAATGTCGATGAAGAAGGTGTAGCTCTCAGCAGGGATGTTGCCTTTGGCCAGGAACACCTTGTTGTAGCTGCCCTCCATCAGGTACTGCAGAGGCCGAGGATGGAGAAAAGAGGATGAAGAAGAGCAGCACAGGGACACCCTGGCACTCCCCACCCTGGCCTCTCTCTCTCCCCGCTAGCTTGTCCTGAGACTGCATCTCCTTATCTCAGCTCCAATTATAAAAAGGAGACCAAGGGCTGGGGCTGGGGCTCAGTGGTAGAGCACTTGCCTAGCATGGGCAAGGCTCTGGGTTCGATCCTCAGCACCACGGTAAAAAAAATAAACAAAGGCATTCTATGCATTTACAGCTACCAAAAAGAGAGAGAGAGAGAGAGAGAGAGAGAGAGAGAGAGAGAGAGAGAGAGAGACACCAAACTGGATCTACTGGGGTTTATCTACCCACAACTTTGCCCAAACTATGCTGCCTGCCCTCCTGCCCTCCCCTCCCCCAGCCAAATCCTGTGCAACCTCAGCTTCAGGAACTATTTCTTAACCCCAGCTCCCCAGCTCCTAAAGTTCTTCCCTGGTCCAGCTCATTTGTTTCTCAAACATAGCAGGCAGTTTCTGCCTCAGTTTAGACTGGCTGGTTGCTCTGCCTGGATTGTCACATGGTTTCATTCTCATCCTTTGCAAGTCTTGCATAAATCCCAACTCTTCAGAGTCCTTTCTGACCACCCCATATTAAATTTTTGTCCCCTGCCCATTACACCCCACCCTCCTTCCTTATTTTTCTCCACAGAACTTACCTGACAGACTACAGGTTACTTCCACTTTTGCTTACTATCTGCTTCCTCACCTCACTGTCATCACCCCAAGATCAAGAAATTTATGATTCAATGCAGTCTAAAAGCTAACAAGCACCCAGTGCACAGCTGGAGCTCAATATTTGTTGCATAAATGAGCAAATATTAATGAACCCTGACCACTCCCCTAGTACTTGTCCTGGTACTACCCACCTTAGCCAAGCCCTTCCTTCCCTGCCCAGCCTCACCTGCTCAAGGGACACAGGGTGCTTGATGTAGACATTGGTCTGGATATCCTTGGCAGGTAGGCGCTCCAACTCTGTATGAAACTCAGCTACCCGGTTCTGGGACAGCAGGAAGAGGAGGTTGAGGCCCAAAAGCTGGTGCATGTAGGCTGACTCGGGGAGCTGCTCCCTGTGGACCAGGAAGGGGAATCCAAAAAAAAAAAAAAAAGGGAAGGCTTAGGGACCTACCAAGCACCAGGGACCCTCCTTTATCTCCTAAAAGGATTATAGGGCCCTGGGTTTTCAGATGAAGAAACTGAGGCCCAAAGAAGCAAGAAGTCCCTTATTAGTCATATCAACCCAGTCAAACAAGTGACCTCATTTCAGAAAAGTGACTTGATTTCCCCAAATGTAAAATGGGTTATCACCAAAGTATCCATCTCATATAGATAGATAGGTTAAACAAAGGTTAAGTGAGTAAGATGATCTAACCCAGGTAAAATGACTAGAACAGAGTCTTACCCAAAAAAGCACTATATAAGCACTATATGATTATGCCAATAATCATCGCCCTCACTTTAAGGGGGAAACTGAGTCAGAGAGGTGACCACATTATCAAAGTGTCAGGATGTTTTAAACCAGTCTGTCTGATATCAAATTTTTAATCATTAATCCATACAGATATCAAATTCTTAATCATTAATCCATAAAGATGTCATTCAGTTTTATATTCTGCACACATCAAGTCCCTGCTCTGGGCCTGGGCTGGGCCTGTAGTAGGCAGTGCTAAAAACCCACCTGTGACCAAGACAGTTCCAAACTCTACCTTTAGGAAGCTCCCAGTCCAGTGGGAGAGACAGGGCTGGGATGGAGAAATACAATCCAAGGCTGGAGCCAAGGCAGGTAAAAGATAATGTGGCCACACTGGGCAGAGGGGATGTAGTGTGGGAACAGGTAACGGAAGTCAATGGATTAGATATCTACAGAAATTAGATCATACAACCCATCTCAGGACCTCCAAGTCAATCTCCTGACCCTGAAATCTCTGGGTACATAAC